AGGCGCTTTGGCCACTGGGACCTTGGGGGCGAGTGGCAGCCAGGCCGTGGGCCATGCGTCTTGCTGGAGTATGAACAATTCAGGTAGGTAGGCCCAGCCACATGTATGATGAGCACAACTGTGGGCTCTGGGCCTGGCTCTGTGAGTGCCTTGTCGGCCAATGAGGGGCAAGTCCCAGCCCCTTCTGAGCCTCTGTCCCTTCCTCTGTAGACCAAGACAGAGTAGTTCCTGGGGACAGCTCCCTGAGCTAATGGGTATGAAAACCCAAAACTGATATGGGAAGAGGTGGGGGCAAGAGGTGAATAGGTAGGCATGCTCTGAGGACATAACCAGTTACTGTGAGAGCTGAGGTTAGATCAGCCCCCACAGTACTTGGTACCCTCAGGAGGCTAAGAAGAAAGGTGGGGGGTTTTAACAACATAAAAGGGAGGCTGAGCAGGAAGGAAATGTTTCAAGGTGGTGGGGAAGGAACTGCCTAATGACATGGTTTCTTGAGTCAGGTTTTATGGTCTCCCACATTCTGCCTGCCCATTGGTCTGTGTCCCATGGTCTTAGGCCACATCAGATGGCAGTGTCAGCTTCTTCCCTTTCTCTAAAATGAAAATTTATATGAGTCTCTGCTTTGTGCCAGGCCCTATTGTAGGTGTTGGGGGTACAGCAGTGATCAAGATGGATGTGATCCCTGCTCCCACAGAGCTGAAATTCAGGCAGGGCAGAAGGGACAAAGAAACAAAATAGACACATTCTTGAAAATCCAAGAGGGAGAGAATGACTTTTGGCCAGGGGGCTGGGGGTGGGCATTAGTAAAAGGCACTCTAGGAGGTAACCTACTTGAGAGCCAGGCATGCAAAGCTCTAGAGAAGTATTCATATTGACCAGAATCACAGACACAAAGGCCTGGAACGCATTCGGTGGGTCCTCCCTTCTTCAGGAACGGCCCACCTTCGTTTGACCCTTAGGAGACTTAGCTGCCCATTGGAGTGGGTCAGGGCATGTCTGGCACCACAGAAGACAGTTGACTCCTGGCCTTCCCAGGCATGACCCCAAGTGCACCCCCAGGGAAACATCTGTGGTCTTGGATTCCTCCTCCTCACCTCTCCTGGGGAGTCAGTCATGCCACAGGTTAACTCTTTGCCAGCTGACTCTGAAGTTTCTCTCACACAATGAGCATCTCAGTTGTTTTCTTGGTCCTATAGCTGGAGAGACTGTGGGGTTCTGCTCCCCTCAAGGTGCTGGTCACCCAGGCTAACTTTCCACTTACCTTTACCCCAAAACTCTGCCTCTTGGTCCCCTATTTCATATGCTTCTCAGCCCAGCACTGAATCAGTCTTGCCATGACCCTTTTCCACAAACAAGATGTATTTCCTCTTCACAGTGGTGAGGAGAGATCCATAGCCCTTGGAGATGGGGTAGGGCTGCTGGGGCTCTCACTAGCTAGGACATGCCCACATACACCTGCTGCACAGAGCTAGTACCAACCTCCTTAAATCTTTAGGTCTTGAGAAGAATTGGGTCGTCAATGTCAACTCTTCTTATCTAACCATCCAAAATTCCTAGACAGGGGCTCCAGACTGCAGGCACATCTGAGGTTCTGTGATCACCTTGCTCTCAAAAATGTCTGGAGTCTAAGATACTCTGGTGGCATACACACAACAGATACAGAGAGACTCTTGTGTGTCCCCTTGAACTCACTGCTTTTGACTGGAATTTTTCACCTTGTGTAATGATAAAAATCCCTTATTGTTCTCATTTAACAGACAGGAAAACTGAAGTTCCCCACTGCCAAAATAGCACTGAGGCTTGGAAAAGGGGAACTGGGACTCCCAATTTCATTCCCCTTGCACCTAGGAACAGGTTCTCCCAGCTCCTCTCTCCCATCACATGGCAAGGTGTGGGGGTTAAAGGACAGAATGGGTCTCATGTGCCAAATTGTGTCCCTCCAGGAAAAATGTGTTACGAAACCTAGCAGACAAGGTCTTTGACCGGCCCATCTGCGAGGCCCTCCTGGACCAGAGGTTCTTCAATGGCATTGGCAACTATCTGCGGGCAGAGATTCTATACAGGTCAGCAGGCAGGGCTGAGGTAGGCTGGATGCCCACATTCCCCACTGCTTAGCATGGCTCCCTCTTTCTATCCCATCGCAGGCTGAGGATACCTCCCTTCGAGAAGGCCCGCAATGTTCTGGAGGCGCTGAAGCAGCACAGGCCGGTGAGAGCACGGGGGTGGAAGGCACACACACCTACCAGCAAGGGCTGACAGGGTATGGGCTAGGTCCAGCGTAACCCAAGCAGGTCCTTAGTTTTTCCTTCTCTCTAGTGTGTGTGTGTGCATTGGGGAGGAGGTGGATGAACTATCTCTGAGTCCTGTCAAGCTCAGAGGTCTGCTCCTGGTGGGGTCAGCTGCCTCACGCTGACAGCCAGGCCCTGTCCATGCCCCTTCTCCAGAGCCCAGAGCTGACCTTGAGCCAGAAGATCAAAGCCAAGCTGCAGAACCCAGACCTGCTGGAGCTGTGCCACTCAGTGCCCAAGGAAGTGGTCCAGCTGGGTGAGGCCTGGGAGGAAAAGATAGCCAACTACCTCTGCACTGGCATATCGAATAACCCCGGGACAGTTGCTACCCATATCTGGGCCTGGTTCCCTGCCTGGGGAATGGAAGTTTGTAAACCTAGTTGTTGCTAAATGGACGGGGCCTCCTCACTTGTCAGGCATCTGTCTGTCCTCCAGGCTGCTTATGAGGCAGGCAGGGCAATGATTATTAACTCCACTCCAGGATGGGCAAGCCATGGCCCAAAGAGGGGAAGACACCAGCCGGAGGTCACACAGCTGGACAAGGGAGAGCCTTGGCCCCTGACTCGGCCCACCAGGCTTTCCCACCTCCCAGCCTAACTCTGCCCTCTGACCTCTGCCTGGCTCCTCTGTCCACAGGGGGCAAAGGCTACGGGCAAGAGAGCGGCGAGGAGGACTTTGCAGCCTTTCGAGCCTGGCTACAGTGCTATGGCATGGTGGGCATGAGCTCCCTGCGGGACCGGCACGGCCGCACCATCTGGTTCCAGGTTCGGGCCCTAATGCTCACGAGGGCAAACAGATATCAAAGACATGGGTGTGGTAGAGCCCTGGGATCACAGCCAGACAGGAGATGGGGTCTCTATCTAGGCCTCCCAGTGTCACACTGTTCCTGAAGGTCTAAGCCTTCCCTATGCTATGCCCCTCCCCTCCTCTGAGTCCCAGGGTCCCAGCTAGTAGAGCAGCCCAAGGCAGGGTGGCCTTGATGTTGGCTCTGACCTGGCAGGGAATGGACAGTAAGAGAGGCTTCCTAGGGGAGAAACTACACTAATCTGGAAAGATAGGTGTGAGTCCTGCCTTCCCAAGGAAAAACAACCCCTGCCCCAACCAGGCTTATTCCTGAATTCTCCCTGTACCATTTTAGGGGGATCCTGGACCTCTGGCACCCAAAGGTAAGGTACTCCTAATATACTAAACTAAGAGCAGAAAGGACGAGTTGGCAGCAAGGGTTACATCAGTCCCCGGTCCCCACTCCACCCCTGGGAGTCAGCCCAGAGTGGAAGAGCAGGAGTCTGGAGAAAGGGCCCATGGCCATAGGACCTCACAACCCCAGCATCAGTATTCTTCAGGAGGCAAGTCCCATCAGAAGAAATCCAAGGGAACACAGCGGGGTCCTGAGGAGAGAATGGAGGTATGGCTCCCTGCTCCTGACTCCTCCCTGCACTCTCCCCTACCCTGGCTGCACCTCCCAAGCCTGGCTTGTGAATAGCTGCCTTCTGTGGACAACGAGGGCAATGCTGGGTTCTAACCAACCTCTGAACTGCTCTTGAGCACCTCAGGAACATGTCTCTCCTCTACCCAGGACACTCCACCCCCAAGCAAGACCTCTTCACTGACAAGAATGGCATGGAAAGGCCTTCCTGAGCAAAGAGCAGCCCAGCAGCCTGAGGGGACCAGCTTCCAACAGGATCCAAAAGTCCCCCGAGTCACTGAGAAAGGGAAGAGGAGGAGGCAATGGGCAAACTCAGGTGGGCCTTCCTCAGCATCATCCTCTGAGATGGAAGGGGCACCACCAAAAGGGGCTTTCCTGAAGAAATGAATGGCAGCATGGGCAGGAGTTCCATGTGGACAAAGGCTGGAGGAAGGTTGTCAGGGCAGTCCTCAACCTGGGGTCCATCTCACCTGTCTTCCCTCCAGGCTGCTGCAGACCTCAAAAGATCAAGACTGATACCCCACCTCTGGAGCCTGAGGAGACCTCAGCCTCCTAGCAGGAGGATCTCCTTGCTTGCATCTACCCCTTCCCACTGCCTTACCCTGGATCTGGGTGTCTGTGTGGCTTCCTAGAAGCAGGCAGTAGGTGAAGGAGGCTAGATGCCTGTGGCTGTTCCCTACAAAAGTAGGGTGTTTTTAATTGTACCCATTTTTAAATCCCATGTGAAAAATGCTGTATTTTTAAAAATATAAATTAATAAACTTCTGGGCTGGCTACAGAAAGTCTAGGATGGCCATATTAGCAAGCCTGTTGCCTGGCCCTGAGTGTAAGAGGCCACCTCCTCAGCAAGGCAAACTGAGCCCCATCCCAGTCCTCAAGACCCTGGCTCTCAGAGGATGATCATCTGATTTTGCAGGGACAGCCCCTCAGAAGTGGAGCAGAAATACTGGCCCCAGGCAGCCCAGGCTCCACAGCTCCTCCAGTCCAGGATTCCTCAGGGCCTGTGGTTTGCTCCCTAACCTGGCCCAGACTAGTCAGTACTCCCTTTCACCAGCTGGAACCCACCCAGACCCAGGTCCTCTGCCTGCTGACACAGGGAAGGACCTCCTTATCTCTCTTGTGATCATATCCCCATTCTTTCATGGGGGCTGCATTCCAGACCCTGCTGCACATACAGGATCACTTTAGATTTTGCCCCTGCCCCCAAATGCCCGGGAAAAAGCTTTCTTCCCTCAAAGGGTGGGGCCCTAAGGGGAGACAGTAGGAGATACCAGCAGGGTTCCTGAACCAAGATTTTATTGTTCAAGAGGTGACTCATCCTTGCTTTGGGCCAGGAAGGTAGCCCCCAAGGCCTTCCCCAAACAATCCCCATACTCAAGATCTCAATTCAGTGGGGCTTGCAGCACGACCAACAGAGACTGCACTTGGAAGGGAGAAAAGGTGAGCTTCAGGCGGGCGTCCCTAAAGGGCAGATGGCCAGCAGGGTCTCGACGCTCTAGGAGGTCACAGCTGTAGAACAGGAGGGGCCATGAGGATCCCGCGAGGTTAGGGCTCCCACCCTCACCCTGCACCCTACTCACAGGACAGCCTCCTGAACTGGAAGTGACGTGCGCAGCCAACAGTCTACGTGGCTGCCATGGGCCTCGTACAGCCTGAGCACCAGTGTGCGGCCCTGGGGGGTGCTCTCCGCCTGAAGAGGGAAGTGGGCGGTGGGCAGGGCCAAGGGCGGACCCCACCCAGACCCACGCCACCCCACTCCTTGCCTGCTTGACGGTCTCCAGCACCACAGCTGGGGAGGACACAGAGAAGGCACTCCAGGTAGCCATGGGCACCTGGCCTGGGGTGGGCAGAACCAACAGTGGGAAATTGAGGCTGTAGGCTGCTTGGATAACACCGGCGTCCTGGAAAGAGCCTGGGCAGAGGCCGGAAAGGGGCGAGTGGTGCAAAAGGAGATAGGGGCATAGGGCAGCAGTTTTCCCCACTGACTTGGAAAAACCGAGGTTTGAAGAGAAGGGGCAAGGTAGCACTCACCTTTGTGTGGCATCAACGCATATGTAAACTCGTGGCGCCCCATGTCAGCAGTGGCATCGGGGGCCTTAGGTGCCCGCAAGCTTCGGGAAAGGAGGGAATAGGCCAGGCTGTAGTTTTCGCCCGGGAAGACCCACACCCCTCTGCTGGCCCCAGGCCTGGCTGGCACACCACTCACAGTGAGAGACTGAGGACGCTGCCCCGAACCGATGCCCCGTACTTGCAGTCATTGAGCAGGGCCAGCCCAAAGCCGTGCTCCGACAGGTCCATCCAGCGGTGGGCCCATACCTGGAGAGCACATCCCAGACCCACCTGGTGGCCCTGTCACCTCCTTTTACTCCCCTCACTAAAGTGAAGGCAAGCTCCGGAACCCCAGGATTGAGTTCCAGCTCTCACAATAGGAGGCCCTGACACACCACCCAAATTGTCTATGCTTCAGTTCCTCATCTGTGAAATGGGAAGAACAGTACTTAGCCCAGCAAATGGGCACGAGTAACAAACTAAACATAAAGCATTTAGCACACTGCTTGGCACACATGTTAGAAACCAGCAAACATTGCTCCTCCTCTTCACCCCACCCCATTCTATACAAATAGTCTCTCCCCACCCAGGGAGAACCCAAACCTCCCACCCCACCCATGTCAGACCTCAAATCGAGCCCAGTCCCAAGAGGTGTTTTGATGGGTAGGCCGCTGCAGGTGCCCGAACTGAACCTCATAGGTAGCCTGAGGGCTCCGAACACGGGCAGGGAACTCCACCTTCAGGAACTTGTGGTCTTCGTGCCAGTGTACCTGGGGTGAAGGGAAAGGGGTTTGTGTGTGTGTGTGGGGGGGAGACAGGCCTTGGGGTGGCCCTTTCTTACTAGCCACACCTAGGGAAGACAGCCACCACCCTACTCCCTGCTACCTCAGTATGGAATCGGACATAGGGGCAGCCGACGTCCAGTACAACCTCCTGGCTGAGCCGACTGTTGGGGCTGATCTGCAGCAGGAACCAAGCGCTGCCCCGCACACCGCCCTCAGTGCCTACTGCCAGGGTCCCTGCCTGGCCCAGCACTGGCTTCCTGGGGGGTAGGGGTGGGAGGCGCTGAGACAGGGCCAGCTGACGGAGGGGCCTCATAGGCCTGTATGCTCATTCCTACCCAAACCTTCCCACCCGCACCTTGTCTCCAGATGGTAATCCATGACGTCCCACGCGTCCCAGTACAGGGGGACATCATCAAACAGCACAAACTGGTTTCCTACAGCACCCTCAGCAATAGCCTCCCTGGAAGGAGATGGGGATTGGTGCTTTACAACTGTATGACCTTGGTCTCTCCAGATGCTCAAGGTGGGGTGGGGGCAGGGTAAGTAGGCCCAGGGAACAGGGGTCTCTCCAGCCCAGCCTGCCCTGCTACATGAGTGGGTCCCAGCCCAGGGCCACTGGTGGGCTGCTGGGCACAGTGCTGTCTGTGGCCAGGGGACAGAGGGAACAGAGTCTGGGATCCTCCTGTCAGATACTGGGAGAGAACAGTAAGGGGCTGGCACCTGTCAGAGGCCACCAGCACCAGGGATGTCAGGCGGCCTGTCGGGTCAAGCTTCACCCGGATGATACCGTTGTCCAGAGTCACAGAACCATCAGTCTTGGCAGAAAGGGGCCTTGAAACTGAGTTGGTAGGGGCTTCCCACAACCAATAGCCTCCCCCCGCACCCCCCCCCCCCCAGCCCTGCCTCACCACTTGCACAAGTCTGGGGAGCTGAGAACCCCCATGTTGTTAAGGATGTTCCAGGACAGTTCTGCCCAACCTGGACATGCCAGCACTCACCTCTCGCACAACAAACACAGGCTGCTGGGGAAGCAGGAGCTGCAGTGAGGTTAGGGCAGGAGCAGGAGCATAACCCATGCTGGGCACTGTCACCAGGGCTGGGGATGAGGCCTGGGCATCAGTGCAGCCTCCCGGAACTTCCAGGAGGGATGACAGGGGAGCAAGGGGTGGGGTGGGGTGGCCGCGCACACAGGATATACTACTATAGCTACTCTTCAGTCTGGAGCACCCCAGGGCAGAGATCCCCAGGGCAGTGACCCCAGCTCTTGGTCTGGCCTCCATCCCTCCTGTTGCAGTAGCAACCCCTCTCCCCAGCTCATACCTAGGCTGTGGGTCCCGCCAGGCCTGGGCAGGGCCAACACTTCAGTGCGCTTCCAAGGAAGTGTGTTGACAATGAGAAGGCCCTCAGGACCTGGCTCCCCAGCACACAGGGCTGCAGCTGCAGTGTTGAGTAGTGTGTTGCCATGGGAACGAATGTCTGAGGAGAAACTGATTGCTCACGAGTGGGCAATGGGTCTGGGATGACCTGAGAGTCCCACAGGTGACACTCTGGGCTCAGCCCTGGGTGTTGAAGACAGCAGCGGAAATGTTCTCAGCCTAACCTTCATAGTGGCACATGGCTTCCTCTGCCACCAGCTGAATGCAGCTTCCAGTCACCACATCATGGAACTGATTCAGGAGCAGGAGCCTACAGGGACCAAGGGCCAGGGATGGGGAAGGCCAGAAGGGTGGAAAGAATGAAGGCTGGGAGGGGCAGCCACAGAGGTGTCGGGTGAAGTCAGGTGGGTGACAGGGGGCAGAGCCAGGCTGACCTCCAGAGGTCCTGCAGCTGGGCTGCTGGGTATAGAAACTGGGCACTTCGGACCAGGGCCAGACTGCTGAGCAGCTCCACGTCATGCAAGATGCGCTCACACTCCCGATTCCCCTTCTTGATCTGAGTCCAAGCCAGCGAGGAGGGTGAATCTAAAGTCTGTTCAAGCATCCCAGAAGACCTTCCAAAGCCCTCCCTGGCTTAGAACCCCCCTGGTGGCTCCTCAGGGCCTCCCAGATAATGCCTCTTGTGGGTGACATGTCCCTAAATACCCACCTCCCTCAGCTCAAGCCTCCTCCAGGCTCCTGACCCACCTGACTCTTGCACTTCTCTCAGCTCCGTAAAGAACAAGCCTCCTGCCCTGGCCGGTTTGGCTCAGCAGTTGGAGCGTCGGCCTGCGGTCCAGAGAGACCCGGGTTTGGTTCCCGCTAAGGGCACATACCTCGGTTGCAGTTTGTCCCTGGCCCTGGTCGGTCGTGCGGGTGGCAGCCACTCGATGTGTTCCTTTCACATCAATGTTTCTCTCTCTGTTCCTCTCTCTCCCTCCCACTCTACCTGAACAAAAACTGGAAAAATGTCCTTGGGTGAGGATAAAAAAAAAGCCTCATCCCACAGACCTGGGTGGGTTCTGTCCTGTCTCCTTCACTGACCCTCTACAGATCAAGGGCATACTTTCCCTGCTCTGCTGAGTGACTATCTCCTGACCTGGGCATGAGTAGTGTAGGTGCCATTATGCAGCTCCAGGAAGAGCTCCCCGACCCATGTGCACAGCTGCCCCGAGTCGCTCTCCAACGCCGAGAAGAGTTGCCCAGGAGAAGACAACTGCACCCTGAGGAAGACTGCAAGTTTGGGTCTCCCAGCTCGGGGGGGGGGGGGGGATGGCTCACCCTTCATCCATTCCAGAGCAGACAAGAGATCTAGCCCCCAAAGAAAGAAGCCACCCCTAGAATGCGCCCTGTCTACATAAAACTAGCTCTGGAAACCCTAGGAGAGTTCTCTGTCTCTGGTGAGTTTAAGCCCCTTCCCATCTTCAGATTTCTCCCACCTCACCCCCAAAATAGAAGTTGGGAGGAGCCCATGGACCAGGATTGGAGCAAAACAGGCCCAGTGGAGGGGTTGGGCCAAATGTTTGCGCAGAAAGGACTTCAAGCAAGGGCTAAATGAGCAGCTCAGTGAGGGCTGCCAGTGGGCCAGGCCTGACCTGGGCAGCCCATCTGTATTGCACAGCCGCTTCAAGCGGTCCACCATGGTCTGGGTGGGACCACCGCCCCCATCCCCAAAGCCGAAGAGGAAGGCACTGTGGTTGGTCCGCCCTTTGTCCCGGTTTTTGGCCACAGTCTTTAGCACCTGGACAGACAGAAGCAGGTCAGCATGGTTCAGTCTAAGACAGGACACAGCCCTCTCCTACCTCCCTGCCCCCACCTTGGCCACTAGGTGTCCTCTCACCTCCTCCACACTGCCTTCCATACCATATGAGTCACCAGGTGGGAAGTGGGCCAGCACACAGGAGCCATCTAGACCTTCCCAGAAAAAAGTATGGTGCTGCGGGCAGACAGGCAGAAGAGAGAGAGGCTAGTGTCAGGGCTGAGGCAGAGTTGGACCTTCTAGTCCTGCCCTGCCCCTTGTGTGACCCTGGAGGAGGCAACCCCTCTATCTGGGTGGGGCCGGGTAATCTGTCCAGGAGGGACCCAGGCCCACTCTAACATGAGCCCCTGGGGTCTGCTCACCGGAAATGAGTTCACCAAGTTCCAGCTCAGTTTTTGGGTCAGGAAGTGCCTGATGCCACAGTTGCACATAATCTGGGGAAGCTGTGCTGAGTAGCCAAACGAGTCTGGTAGCCAGAACTGCAGGAAAAGGGCCTCTAAGGCACAGGAACCAGGACTCTTGGCAGAACAGCCCCAGTCTCAGCCCCTCATCTCTCCAGGTCAAGCTCCACCCTATCTGCCTGAAGGTGTAGCAGCTCCCAGCCTACCTCTGAGCACATCTTCCCAAACTCCTGCAGGAAGAAGTTCTGGCCCTGTAGAAACTGCCTCACCATGGCCTCTCCACTGGGGAGGTTCCCATCCTGGCAGTGAGGGAAGAAGGAGTCGGCCAATGTCAGCACCAGATGGGGAAGAGGCTCGGGCCAACCCCACCCCTCAGGAGAAGCCATAGCTCTGACCCAGGGGTTATGGCTAGCAACCAGGAAGTGTCTCTCTTCTGGCTTTAGACCCAACTTTATCTGCTGGAGGGGAGCTTCTGGGCTGGGTCATGCAGACAACCTGTCACTGCTTGAGACTCTCCTCCCCCTTGCGGGTCCCAGGCCTTGACATTCCAAGGACTAATAAGCACTGCAACAGAGGGGTTGTGAAGGGCCTGTAGAAAGCCAAAGAGGGAAGCCCATGACAGAGTGGCCCTAGGCTGAGGATGTGCAGACTGCACTTACCATTTCCACCCAGGTGCCCCCCACGGGCACAAACTGCCCACGGCAGGCAAACTCCTGGAGCCGGGAATACAGGCCAGGGTACTGGTTCTTTACCCACTCCAGCTGCTGCGCCTGTGAGGCAGATGGGGCAGAAGTTGCCCCAGGCGTGACAAGAACCCCGCTCAGGGCCAAGTATCTGGGGCACAGTGGGCAGCTGAGGGTGGGGAAGAGCCCTGCCCCTCAGGCTGGGGAGGCCCTCAGAACCTCACTCTTGGATCTGTTGGGCATCTGGTGTCCCCATATGGCTGTCCCTCTGACCTGGGAGCAGACAAAGATGAACTCGGGGTTCCGTTCCATGAGCTGCACAGCTGTTACCCAGCTCCGGGCACATTTCCGCACTGTCTCTTTGAAGGGCCAAAGCCAGGCTAGATGGAGAGGGGCGCAGAGAGTGGAGGGAAAGCAGCAAGGTCCCCAGCTCCACACAGACCTCCAGACTCACCCCTGTCCCCCAGCACCCTGACCAGGCCCAGCCTGGGCCTCTAGGGTCTTCCTGGCCCTCCTCTCATTCCAGGCCCCATTCCCTGCAAAGCCCTGTGGCACCCCTCCTGAGCTACCACTTCAAACCACTCCTGCTAGGTGGGAGTAGGGGGTGGGACAGAGAGGCCACCAGGGCTACCTAGTCAGTTTTACAGGTCAGAAAATAGAAGTCCCAGACCCTGAAATAGCCTCACCCTTGAGGTTTAGACACCCTCAGAAAGGATCCTATAAGCAGCAGCAAGAGTTAACCCTTTCAGTAACACACACTGATGGATATCTCAGAACAGAGGGCACAGCTCCCCAAGATGGACCTTGCCTGGTCAGCCATCCTACACAAAGCACTATAGCCTGTCCTTCCTTACCAACCCAGAGCCCCCACTCTCCACCCCACGCCTTGGCACAGCAAAGAAAGCCCTTATTCTGTGGTCCAGAAACTTGAGCTGCATCAGAATTAACAGCTTGGGGAGCTTGTTAGAAAAAATGTGGATTTCCTATAAGCCTCACAGACAATGCACACTCATCAGGTTCAGAATGGAACCTCTAACCCTCCTCAGAAAACTTCCCCTGTGCATTAGCCCCCATCCCTATTACTGCCACATCACTCCTCCACCTCTTACGACTTGAACACCCTGTCAAACTCACTCATTCTTACTCAGCTCAGTCACCCCTCCACAAAGCCTCTCTTGAATTCCCTCAACCCAGCTGGGTTAAGTGCTTCTTCTGGGCTCTCCAGCACCCCTATATTTCCCCTCTCTTGGTCCCAACTGTGTCTATTTTGTGATCATCAGTCTCTATAACCCTACCCTTCAGTATCTAGCATGGGTTCACACGGGGCATCAGATTTTGTTGAAAGAATAAATGAAGCTACACCTAGCAAAGCCCAGAGTCTAGTTCCCTTGCCCCCTTTTATAAATGGAGATGACTGAGGCCCAAGAGGGGCAAGAACCTGCTGAGGATTACACTGCTTCCAGGGCACAGGCAGGGCTTCAAGGTCACTCCTGCCTCCCTCCAGCCAACCCAGGTAGATGCCCACCCCCCTACCTGTATCAATGTGGCAGTGCCCCATGGCATGGATAGTATGTTGGCTTTCACCTCCACGTTGGCCAAAGAACTTGGAGGCCAGATCCTGGGCCATCAGGAAGGTTTCGGGCTGGGCAGGGTCACAAACATTCACAATCTGGTTGGCTGTGTATAGGGCCTGGAAGCTGCGCTGGTTGTCTTCCCCGAGGCCCTGCAGCAGAATTCTGTCTCTTAATTGCCATCTCAAGCAAAGTCTCCAAAACTAGGCCCTGGCTGGTCTTCCAAGGGTTCTCAACAGAGCTTTTCCCTATATCCAACTCTTTGGCCCTGCTGTTCCCCCTGCTCAGCACTGTTTCCCTCCTCCCCTTTACACAGAGAAACCCTATCAACTCTAGGGCAGGCAGAAACACCCCCCCATTCTGCATTCCCAGAGTCCCAATTATCTGACCCAAGAAATAACCTGCCTACAGTTCTAGAGAGTGGCCAGGTGGGGTGGGGTATCAAGTACCTTGGCCATGCCCAGCAACAGCTCCAGATCCACCAGGAGCTTGTGGACATCCTGGTGGAACAAGGCCAGCTCAGCCCGGCTCACCTGGAACATCTTCTCTGGGTCTGGGGCTGCGATCATGGTGCCCTTCCCCGCCCCCAGGAGCCCACTGCAGGCGACTTCCACATAGAGGGTCAGGCTACAAACATAGGGAAGCACTCTTAGGCCAAGGGACTAGCAAAGACCTCTGGGGCTTAGGGAGGGAAGACCGAAGCATCCAGATGACCCCTCCCCATTCAACCCCAGGATACCACAGTATATCAAGTTCAAGTATGAGAGAGTGACAGAAGCACCAGCCTGAACCCATATAGTGATGATGAGAGCTCTACTACGGTACGTAAGAACAAGCGGCTCAAAACTGTGTAATGCTGCTGTTTAGCCATTTGTTCCAAAAGCTATCTTTACACAGCACTGCCGTGGTCTCAGAACTGTCTTTGCAGATTAAAAGCATGTCTGGCCCTGGCCAGTGTGGTTCAGTGGTTAGCATCGGCCCACGCACCGAAGGCTCTCGGGTTTAATTCCCAGTCAAGGGCACATACCTGGGTTGCAGGTTCAAACCCTGGCACAGGTCCAGGTCCGTGCAGGTGTGTCTCTCTCACATTGTTTCCTTGTCCCTTCCCTTCCCTTCCCTTCCCTTCCCTTCCCTTCCCTTCCCTTCCCTTCCCTTCCCTTCCCTTCCCTTCCCTTCCCTTCCCTTCCTTTCCTCCCTCCCTCCCTCCCTCCTTTCTCCCTTCCTTCTCTCCCTCTCTTTCTCTCCATCCCTCCCTCTCCCTTCCACTATCTCTAAAAATCAAGGGAAAAATATCCTCAAGTGAGAAGTAACAAAACAACAACAAAAGACTTCCAGTCAAGATGTGGTGTAGGGTAAACGCAATATTTGTCTCCTCCCACAACCACATAAAAATTACAGATAAAGAACAGAACAAACATCATTCAGAACCACCTGAAATCAAGCTGAATGAAAGTCCTACAACTATGAAATTAAAGAAGAGGCCACATCAAGACTGGTAGGAGGGGCAGAGGCAGGGAAGGGCTGGTCCCACATCCACTTGTGGTGGATAAAAACCGGGAAAGATACCTCAGCTGTGAAGGCCCTCCCTGAAAAGCAAGCAGTCCCTGTTCCACACCAGGCCCCCCCAGCTCAGGATTCCAGTGCCAGGAAGAGAAGCCCCCATAACTTCTGGCTGTAAAAACCAGCAGTCATTGAGGCTGAGGGAAGCTGAGGCTGCTAGAGTCCCAGGCAGCTCCTCCTCTTAGAGGGTACACACACAGACTTACTCAAACTCGCCCCCTCTGAGCTCCAGCATGGGGGAAGCAGTTTGAAAGGCACCAGAGACATACAGGGAAGAACTGAGTTGTTTGCCATCTGGGCGAGCGCTGGACAGGCAGCTTTCTCCCAGACAGCTGTGCTGATGGAGGCCTTTGTTCCTTTGGTGTGCCCTTCCCACCACCGGGATAGCAGAACCACACCATATGGGACTCCAGCAACCTGGCTCAAACTGTTTTCCCCATTCTGATTCCCTGAGGCCCTGCCCCACCCCACTTTAGGGCCTACCCTAATGCTGTTTCCAGTGGCATTACCATTGGAATGACCTGTCTTGGCTCATGCTTTGGATTTTCCTAAAATCTTTCAAATAAGCAGCATCTGGCCTTAGTTCCCAGCTTAGCCTTGCCTGAGCACCTCCAAGTCCAGCACAAGAAGCAGCCATCTGCAGATCACTTTGGAGCCTATGCCTGGTGGTCCTGGGTAGAACACAGGCAGTGGCTGGCCTTGGTCTGAGCCTCCTGGAAGGCCCCAGAGCCAGCACACCCAGTGGATAGCTTCAGACACGTCTAAGCACCATGACCCAACCACCTCCACAAGCAACACACTCATGGGGTGCATTTGGTGGGTACCAGAGACCTATGGAAGTAAGTTTAGCTCTGTGTGGTAGGCCCCTGCACAGCTCATCCCCCAAGGTCGTCAGAGGTCAGTGGTTAGTGGGTACAGCCTGTCCTTACAGCTGATCAGCCTGACTAAATCCCTCCCAGTGACGTGTCAACAGCAATCAACACTCAATTACAACAGATGGGTGCACAGTCCACGGAGGGGGTGCACCTCAAGTACTAAGCTGGGGTGATCAGGGAGGCTGTGCCACTGGACACTACAGGACACCTACTACAATAAGGCACCCTATCAAGCCTAGGAGATGTAACAACTCTACCTCATACATTGAAACAAACACAGGGAGGCAGCCAAAATGAGGAGACAAAGAAACATGTCCCAAATGAAAGAACAGAACAAAACTCCAGGAAAAGAACTAAACAAATGGAGATAAGCAATCTAACAGATACAGAGTTCCAAACACTGGCTATAAGGATGCTAAAGGAAATTAGTCTAGAGGTCTAGAGGCCCTCAAGAGCATAATAAAGGACCAGTCAGAAATGAAGAATGCACTAACTAAAATAAAAAATAACTTACAGGGTATCAACAATAGAGTAGGTGAAGCTGAGAATCAAACCATCAATTTAGAATATAAGGAAGTAAAAACCACCCAATCAGAACAGCAAAACAAACAAACAAAAAAACCCCAAAATGAGGATAGTGTAAGGAGTCTCTGGGACAACTTCAGGTGTGCCAACATTCGATCATGGGGGTGCCAGAGGAGAAGAGAGAGAGAAGAAATTGAAAACCTATTTGAAAAAATGATGACCAAAAAACTTCCTTAAGTTGGTGAAGGAAACAGATATACAAGTCGAGGAAGCAAAGAGAGTCCCAAACAAGATGAACCCAAAGAAGCTCACACAAAGACACATTATAATTAAAATACAAATCTTTAGAAAAAAAAATTTTTTTCTTTATTGATTTTAGAGAGAGAGAAAGGGAGAGGGAGAGATAGAAATATCGATGAGAGAGAACATCAATTGGCTGCCTCCTGCATGCCCCCCACTGGGGATTTGGCCCACAACCTGGGCATGTGCCCTACTGGGAATAGAACTGGCGACCTCTTGGTGCATGGTTTGATGTTCATTCAGTGAGCCACACCAGCTGGGCCAAAGAGATAACCTTAAAAGCAGCAAGAGAAAAGCAGATAGTTACCTGCAAGGGAGCTCCCAATAAGACTGTCAGTTGATTTCTTTTTTTAAATTTATTTATTTATCCTCACCCGAGGACATTTTTGCATTCATCTTCAGATAGAGTGGGAGGGAGAGAGGTGGGGGGGGGGGGAGAGAGAGAGAGAGAGAGAAAAGTGCGCGCGCGATGTGAGAGAAACACATCGACTGGTCTCCACCCATACAATCCCAACCGGGGCCGTGGACAAACTGCAACCAAAGTATGTGCCCTTAGCGGAAACCGAACCGGGACTCTCTGGTCCACAGGCCAACGCTCTAACCGCTGAGCCAAACTGGCCAGGGCTCAGATTTCTCAAAAGAAATTTTGCAGGCCAGAAGGGAGTGGCAAGAAATATTCAAAATGATGAAAAGCAAGGACCTACAACCAAGATCACTCTATTCTGCAAAGCTATCATTAAGAATGGATGGACATATAATGAGCTTCCCAGAAAAAAAAAAAAGCTAAAGAAGTTTATCCCCACCAACCCAGTATTATGTGAAATGTTGAAGGATTTTGTTGAATAAAAATGTCAAAAATATGAACAATAAAATGGCAATACATATCTAACAACTGAATCTACAAACCAAATGAACAAGCAGAACAGAAGCAGACTCATAGGTACAGAAAGGGAAAGGGGGTGGTGATGCAGGAAGAGATAAACCAAAAAACTTAGATGGATATATGCATAACCAGTGGACACAGACAATAGTGTGGGGAAGGCAGGAGTGGGTGGGTAGGAGCAGGGAGGAGCGGGTCAATGGGGGGGGGGGGGGAGAAGGAACATCTGTAATACTTTCAACAATGAAGATAAATTAAAACAAAAAAACATTTTTGGAAGTCCCAGAGTAAAGATCCATCAGCCAACACAGGGCGGGCTATTCTTTGGAGCAGCACATTGGGCTATGGTGCTGTTCTACTCAGTCTTTAGAGACGAAACATGACTTCTTTGGGGAAGCCCTCCCTGACCCTCCTCCCACCCCTCTCCTAAGCCTGGAACAGTTCTCACATTGAGCTCCCAGGGTTTTCTCTCATCCGTTTTGTAACTGTGTAAGTATGTATGAGTCCCCTTGATGCAGAGGACCACATTACTCACCATCACAGGTCCAGTGTCTGGCAGCATCAGACACAGTGTTCAATAAATATTATAACGTTAAACCGTAATGTCTAATAAAGTGTTTTTAATGGTGTCATGTATGTTCACGCTGTAACATGGAATGAAAAATTCAGGATACAAATATCAAGGAAATGTAACCTAAACTAGTAAAAACTAGACCTGGAAGAATTCCTGAGATGAATGTTGAGATGTCAATAGTGGTCATCTCTAGGTAGTGGGATGATGGGAGATATTTATTTCTTTGTTAACTTTTCTGTATTTACCACAAGGCGGCAAACATTTTTATAGCCAGAAAAAAGAAAATCCTGCACTTAAAAACAAACATTGAAATTTGAAGATGGTTGTGTTGTTGGGAGTGGGTGTTTCCAAGATCATTCTGGGCCTCAGCTCCCACTGTGTCCTCCCCCACTGTTGTCGTCTTCCCTACAGCCTTGGTCAATCAGCACACAAGGACTCACTCACCTCCGGGGGTCTCCTTCCCCTAGTCTCTCAGTCAGGACATAGCTGGTCTTCTCCCCTTCTTTGGTCAAACCCTGGTGGGAGTGAAGTGAAAGAAACAGGGCCTAAGGTTGTTCAAATGAAGTATAAGCTGAGGGAATCTAATACCCTCCACTCAGTCCCCAGCTTTGGCTTCGCTCCCCCAGGCAAGGCCAAGATTGATAAATCGGACCTCTGGTAGATGCCCCAACCCTCATGGCAGTCAATGCCATCACCACCAATGGCACCAGTAGAAAAGCCCCACGTCTTATGGGAAGGGTCTTGGGCAGGTGTCAGAAAACCTGGGTGTGGCTTCTGGTGGCCTCTGTACCCCTGAATAAGTACCTGAAGGGAAAGTCAGGGACAGGTTTGTCTCATTTTCTGCTATACCCCCAGTGATTAGCATTGGGCCTGGCCCAAAGAGAGCATTCAGGAGATATCTGCTAGCCAATGGAGGGCTTTTGTTATACAGGTAGGACAACCGTCCTACCCTGAGACTGAAAGTCTAATTGGAATAGAAGCTGTGCAAACTGAACAATTGAACTAACCTCTACATACCTCAGCTTCTTAATCTGCAAACAGTTATAAAGATCAACCACATAGTATTATAAAGATATTGTTAGATGCATAAATAAGACACTTGATGGTTATATTTGGGGAACTGGGATGGGGTAATAGAGACAGATATCTGAAAGTTTCCCCCCAATAATATATATATTACACATAATAAAAAACTTGTTTATTAAATACTAAAAATCAAGAGTTGTGGTCTGCAAAGCCACGAGTCTGGCACCTAGCAAGAGGGTTAATAAATGGATCTGCTGTACTTACTATTATTGTACTTGGTCAGTAACCATATTCAGCCCAGAATGAGAAGATGGGCAATCAGCTACAGAGTTGGTTTAGCACTAATTACGTTGTGAGCCAACCACAGGGGCCGCCCAAGCGGCAACCTCCCCAGTCCTGAAATCCTGATACCACTCTGCAAACAGAGCCCCTCAGTTAGGGCTTCTCCAGAGACTAGAGCTGAAATGTGGCCATGCCTGTCCCTAGGCCTAAAGCAAGACTTCTTACCTGAACTGGTTCCCCATCACGCCACACCATGCCCTCTCCATCACTTTCCCAGCGAAAATGAACTTCCTGACCCACCCATGCCTCTGGGATGGTCAGCTCCACCCGGAACCAGCAGGTCCACCATCTGCAAGAGAGCCACTTAGATGGGCCTCAGTGTGGAAGCCTTGTCCTTTTGAAATAGTACTTCCTTGGACTGAGTCAGTAGGGGCTTGAGGTTTGTCTATGCATCATAAGGTATTCAGATTTGACCAACAAGAGAGGATCAAGGTGTGTGCAGCAAGATTAAGGAAAGAGGCAGAGAAGTCAGGGATCTGTGATCTGTCCTGGAGTATCTTTCCTAAGGGGGCTCCAGGGACTGGGAGAAAAGGGAAAAAAACGAACTCTTTCAAGAAATTTGAGGAACCAGGGGCAGACAATGGAGGTGTGACCCTTCTTAGAAGAGAGCCAGCCCAAGGTGGGGGTAGGGGGGACTTCCTTTGGCCCGCTGGCCCCGCCCTGTTTCTGGGCTTTACCCACGTGGGTCCAAAGCTGTCCCCGACTTGCGCTGGGCAGAAGTCCTGCTGGATTGCCTCCTGGTAGGGGAGCCTCTCAGGCGTCAAGAAACTGGAAAGCCCGGCCACTGGGCAGCTGTCCCTGTAAAGCCTGGGCAGGAGGGGCCAGTGGGCGCGCGTTTGAGGCCAATGGGCACACTGGCAGGTGGAATGCACGGTCCCTCAATCCTCTTTGGAGAGAGGGCTGTCCCACAGCACAGCCTGCCCGCTCCCTCCTCCCGGCCCACACCCTGTCCACAGAGAACGGGTACTCGATCCATCAGTCCAGGTTACTGCAGTGTGGGTTCACCCACAGAGAGGAAGGCTGAGGTGCATGGGAGATGCCAGCCAGCGAAATAAGGGGCCACACCTGCTGCGGAGGTTACAGTCGTGGCTAGAGTAGACTGGCGACACGAATTTCTCCGCCCGCTCCAGCGTAGTACGCCAGTGCTTCAGGGCCGGGACCACGGCCGCCGCCATTGCCGCACGCCCTGCGCTCTTCCGGTTTCCGGGGCTGCCCGGAAGTAAAGGTTCCTGCGGACCACAGCGCCTTCCTGCAGCGCGAGCCTCTTCCTACCCCACCGAGGCTCTCGGAGCCCAGCTGCCCTGAGCTTAGAGCGGGGCACTGAAAGAAGCGCTTCAGGGGCTCTCCTCTAGCTCATCTGGACTGATGGGCCACTTGGAATATCCCTAAATAAAATGGGAAGTTTGACGTTTAGATCCTCTGAAAGCTCCAGGACAGAGGGGACCGTTAGACATATCAGAAGCGGATCACTGGACCTGGGCAGCAGCAAGTGGGAATCTCTCAGCACTCCAGTGCCAGCCCGGCCTCTGGCTCCTTCGAAAACCCGGGAAAGAGCTGGGGCCGCCAGGAAGGGACATGGTGTTAATTAGGGACGGCTTTGTACCCCAGTAACCTCAGCTTCCTCTACTACCTATTTTATGTATTATGAATGGTAGTCATCACCAGAAACTGTTAAGAATTTGATTTGAGATGGCATGTTAGTCATAGCATTCAAAATCCAGTAGAACACTATATTTCACCACATAGGACTAAAGAGTTGAGAAGACATAATGCCAGAGGCACCTCTAATTTCATTTTCATGTTACTCTAGTAGTCAGTTGGCAGCCTTCCCCCGACCCCCTTCTAGGATTTACAGGGAGTTGTCTATAATATCATTAGTAAAAAAAATATATATACACAATATTAGCCCTGATATTTTAATGGAAATACTGACCAAGTCAAATTTACAACATTGAAAATGCAAACCACACAGAAAGGTGACTGAGTACACAATACCAAACATTTGAAATAAAAATAACTTGCCGGCTATAATACAGGCTGGGTTTAGAGCTTGTAGCTCAGATGTCAGAAGACAGGAGATAAAAATGCTGCTTGTGAAAACCCTACCTGTAGGTGAAGCTTCCCCTCCATTTTGGATGCACTGGTGGGTTGAAGGATTTCTCCTTAACTGGCCCTGAAACCCTATTCCTGACCTGCAAGCAGGTGCTCTGGACATAACCCTGTGCAGAGACGGTAACAGATGGGGCTCCATCAATTTCCCCCATAATTCCAAGTCAACAAGATCTTCCTTTAGTGAGCAGAGAAGAGGTGAGTTATTGCTGGGAAAACCTGAAGATCTCCCCTCCCCAATCCGTATGTATCACTCCATCGCTGAGTCAGGCACTGGCCCCAGCCAGCTTCACCCTAGACTCTCCCACAAGGCTCTTTTGCCACCCTACACTTCTGGGTTCAGTCTCTTATGTCATCTCTTCCCTCACCCCCCACGTCCCACCCCCACCCCCACCAACAAAAAAGTCAGGGAAATATATGTATTTTGAAAGTCCAGAAGCCAAAAATGTGTGGGGTTTTAGTGTGTGTGTGTGTGTGTGTGTGTGTGTGTGTTGGGGGAGGGGGCGGATTTTTTTTTTTTATCAAAAAAGCAAACAAAACAATTGGTCACTTTGCAACTATGACTAGGGTAAATCGTTGCTGGAGGAAAATCCACCAGAAGTCCAGGCTGGCCACATATAAAAATCCTAATCACTCAGGTTTGAATGTCTGCCAGTTTAAATTTATGTAACTAAAATATATATATATATTCATTTGTAGTTAGTACCAAATCTCACTCCCAAACCCACTTATACAACATGCCTTATGCACATTTCTTTCAAATACTGATTTGGTATTTAAGTTACTCACCCCCATTTCTAGGTAAGAAAAAATTATGGAGAAATACAATTTTTTTTTTTTTTGCATTTATCTTCAGAGCGAGAGGAAGAGAGAGACACACACACATTGACTGGTCGCCATCCACACAACCCTAACCAGGGCTGGGACAAACTGCAACCCAGGTACATGCCCTTAGTGGGAACCAAACCCCAGTCTCTCTGGTCCGCAGGCAGACACTCTAACCTGAATCAAACTGGCCAGGGCTGTTGTCATTTTTTAATTTGACAACCTAGGGGAAAAGAGGTCAGTGCCTCTGACTAAATAGGTATTGCATGCTTTAAAAATTCTTGCAGCATGCCAGTGTGTTGTGGCACATTGGCTGAATATCTCTGCCTTTATCGTATGTAATAAAATTAACTATGACTTCTTAATATCATCTAAAACCTAGTCACATTCAGATTTCCCTAACTGCTTCCAAAATGTCTTTTACAGCTGTTTGTTCAATCCAATCAAGGATCATATCTTTTTCTTTTTCTGTTTCCGTAAAGACAGTAAAAAATTGCCAGTGCTGACTATATTTCAAGTCATCATGGCAGAGTATTGGGAAAAGTTTTCAATTAGCAATAATTGTGCCTTGGATAACCCTTATTGGCCGTGATACTGCCACTGTGCAAAACTGGGGATATATGTCTGTTTATAATCATTTTTAATCTAGATGGGATCACCTTCCCAACCCCCATCTTCATTTCCATGATCCTGATCTTTCTGACAAGCCCAGGCCAGTTGTCCTTTGAGATGCCCCATCACATTCTGGATTCGTTTGAATGGCTCCTTAGACATCATTAACTTGTGCCTCTTTCAAGTTTTTCCTGCACACTTGGAATCAGATCTAAAGGCTTGGCTACATATATTATTTAAAAAAAAAAAAATTTTTTTTAATTGATTTGAGAGAGAGAGGAAGGGAGAGAGAGAGAGAGAGAGAGAGAGAGAGAGAGAGAGAGAGAGAAACATTGATGAGAGAGAACTTCGATTGGCTGCCTCCTGCATGCCCCACACTGGGGATCGGGCCCACAGTCTGGGCATGTGCCTGACTGGGAATTGAACTGGCGACCTCCTGGTGCATGGGTCAACGCTCATCCACTGAGCCACACCAACTGGGCTGGCTACATATATTCAAGGACACCTCCTAGATGGTGCTCTGTACTGCAAACTACATCATGTCAAGAGTAGAAGGTAGCCAATATCTGGTTGTCATACTTTAGTGAGGCTGCAATTGCTGTGACAGCCAGACCTTTGTATTGTGGTTATGTTTTACACCTTCTGACCACTAAGTAATCTACGGAAGGGATTTCCTTTTTTTTTTTTAAACTCTTTTTTTATTATTGAATGTATTACAAATATCTCCCCATTTTTTCCCCATTAACCCCCTCCTCCCCAGTCCCTTCTCCCTTCTGCCTTCCCCACACTATTGTCAGTGTCCATTGGTTATGCATATATGCACAGAAGTTCTTTGGTTTCTTTCATTCCCACCCTCCCTCCCCCCTTCCCTTTGAGGTTCATCAGTCTAACAACAAATCTGTACTTCTTAATTTCTTCATCTTTTTTCACGGATCCCTCCAGCCCCCACCCATCTGGCAAGCAACAAAAGGCTGTCTGTATCTATGAGTCTGTTTCTCTTCTGCTTGCTCATTTTGTTTGTAGAGTCAATTGTTGATAGATATGTATTGCCATTTTATTGTTCATATTTTTGTTCTTCTTCTCCTTCAAGAAGACCCTTCAGCTCTGGCTGGTTTGGCTCAGCTGTTAGAGCGTTGGCCCACAGACCAGAGAGTCCCGGGTTTGGTTCCCGCTAAGGGCATGTACCTCAGTTGCAGTTTGTCCCTGGCCCCAGTTGGGGTCGTGTGGGTGAGAACCACTCGATGTGTCTCTCTCACACTGATGTTTCTCTCTCTCTCTTCCTCCCTCTCTCCCTCCCTCTCTATCTGAAGATAAGTGCAAAAGTGTCCTTGGGTGAGGATTAAAAAAAAAAAAGAAGAAGACCCTTCAACACTTCATATAACACTGGTTTGGTGGTGATGAACCAAACCAGTATTTTTCTTGTTTGGCAAACTCTTGATATGCCCAGCAATTCTAAATGATAGCTTTGCAGGACAGAATAATCTTGGTCGTAAGTCATTGCTTTTCATCACCTTGAATATCTCTTGCCACTCCTTTCTGGCCTGCAAAGTTTCTTTTGAGAAATCAACTGACAGTCTTATGGGAGTTCCTTTGTAGGTAATGAACTGCTTTTCTCTTGCTGCTTTTAAGATTCTCTCTTTCTCCTTAACCTTTGGCATTTTGATGATGATGTGTCTTGGTGTGGACCTCTTTGGGTTCACCTTGTTTGGGACTCTCTGTGCTTCCTGGACTTGTGTGTCTGTTTCCTTCACCAAGTTAGAGAAATTTTCTGTCATTATTATTTCAAATAGGTTTTCAATTTCTTGCTCGCTCTCTTCTTTTTCTGGCACCCCTATGATGCAAATGTTCGCACGCTTGAAGTTGTCCCAGAGGCTCCTTACATTATCCTCCTTTTGGGGGATTATTTTTTCTTTTTGCTATTCTGATTGGGTATTTTTTTGCTTTCTTATATTCCAAATGTATTGTTTGCTTCTTGGCTTTACCTACTCTACTATTGATTCCCTGTAAAGTATTCTTTATTTCAGTTATTGCATCCTTCGTTTCTGACCTCATCCTTCATTTTTATGTTGTTGATGTTCTAAGTTCCTCGGAGTTCTCCTTAAGTTGCTCGAAGGTCTTAGTTCCTTGAGAACCTTATAACCAGTGTTTTGAACTCTGCATCTGATTGATTGCTTATCTCCATTTTGTTTAATTCTTCTTCTAGAGTTTTGTTCTGTTCTTTCATTTGGGACATGTTTCTTTGTCTCCTTATTTTGGCTGCTTTCCTGTGATTGTTTCTTTGTATTAGGTAGAGTTGCTATGTCTGCTAGGCTTCATAGGGTGGCCTATTGTTGTAGGTGTCCTGTAGACTCCAGTGGCACAGCCTCCCTAATCACCCCAGCTGGGCCCTAAAGGTGCACCCCTAATATGGACTGTATACCCTTCTGTTGTAATTGAGTCTTGATCGCTGTTGGCACATCAATGGGAGGGATTTACTCACGCTGGCCAGCTGCAAGGACTGTGCCCACTGACCACTGGCTTCTGACTCCCTTGGAGAATCAGCAGTGTAAGGGCCCAACACAAAGAGCAAACTTACTTCATCAGGGCTCTGGTACCCACTGAGTCCACTCACTGAGTGTGTCACTTGTGGAGGTGGTTGGGTGGTGGTGCTTCGATGTGGTCTGAAGTTATCCGCTGGGTGTTCTGGCTCTGAGGCAAGGTCAGCCTCTGCCTGTGTTCTAACCAGGGCCACCAGGCATAAGCTACAAAGTGATCTGCAGATGGCTGCTTCTTGTGTTGGGCTTGGAGGTGCCCAGGAAAAGTCAATTTGTGAACTAAGGCTGGCTTCTTCTAGTGCCAGGCCGAGGGCCACTTACTGAGAAGTATGGGGCTCAATAAGATCAGATGCTGCTTGTTTGAGAGATTTTAGGAAATTCTGAAGCAGGATCCAAGACAGGCTAATCACAAGGTAAAGCCATTGGAAGCAGCTTGGGTGGGCCCGAAAGTTGGGTGGGGTGGGGCCTCAGGAAATTACTCGGGTGAGGCAAACAATGTGAGCCAGGTTGCTGGAGTCCCAGATATGGTGGCTGTCTGCCACCCCAGGGAAGGACTCACCAAAGGATCATCGACTTCTGACAGCAAGTCTGTCCAGGAGAAAGCTGCCCCTCTAGCTCTCGCCCTAATGCCAAACAACTCAGTTTTCCCCATATGTCTCTGTTGCTTTTCAAGCTGATTCTCCCACATTGGAGCCTGGAGTGTGAACGTCCAAGTAAGTCTCTGCTTCGGCCATTTAAGAGGAATTGCCTGGGACTCCAGAAGCCTCAG